AATTGCATACCCTATTCTTTTTTTTCTTAAGGAAAGGAACATGAGTCATCTGTGAGAGCCATAGTCAATGTATGTACAGAAGAAGACCTAAGGTGGATTTGAGGTTACTTGTGTTGATATAGAAATCTGAGTTATGAGTTGCTCTTCTTCTAACAGCATTACACACACACACACTCAGAGATATATAAACATATATGTATTATGCAATATTATACAAATATTTTCACAGATCACTTTATGGAAATGCCTCTTTGCATTCCTTGTTGCTATACAATGGTTTCTCTTGCACTCTGCCCTTTCTTGCTGAGGGAGGTGAGAGTCATACAATGCTTGCTGTACCTCCTGGCTAATCAGTAGGGGTTCAGTTCATGACCTAGCAAGCAATAGAAAAACAAAAAATTCCTGAGTTTTCACACTCTCAGATTGACTTGTCTTTTTTCATATTGCACAAGAAGAGGGGGGAAAAGCATGTTAAAAAAATCTCCCAAGAATCTGAAAATTTGACCCTTTCCAGCATGACCACATTCTCCAAGCAGTTCAGAGATTCAGAAAAAAGCCCCATCAAATCGGAGGACACAGCTGTACTGGAGTTCATTCAGCCATTTCTACCACTGAGAGAGTTCAAAATTATTTTAGCTACTGTTTGTGCTCTGAGGGTACATTGCTGTTAGCTAGTGGAAGTTGTTCTGTTGTTCATGAAAAGGAGAAATTACAACATCATGCACATAAACTCGGACATGCAGGCTGAATTTTCAGTCCTGCATTGGGAATTTAAGGAATATCTTATTCATGTAAATGAGACTTGCCTGCTTAATTCCATTCACAAAACACTGACATGAACTTTGACTCATGTATAATGTGATGTATTAGTTACTACACAGTACCCTGAGGCAGGTTCTTCAACATAGAAGTCTGCTTAGGACAGTAGGTGGCCTTAAAAGTGTGGAATAAATTCTCTGTTGGTATAAACTACACAATTCGATTGATATCAGTTGTTCCTTTGCCAGTTATACCAGCAGTAAACTTGGCCCAATATTTTTTGCTAATTTCATTACACTAACGATTTTTCCAAGTATTCTTTAAACAAAAAAATATTTAATTTGATTCCCTTTGATACTGTCGGTGCATTCTCTTATACTGTCTGTGCATTGCTACTTAGCTCAGTTGAATCACCAAGCTGCATTTCAAACGAAAGGGTCACCACACATGCGGTTACACTGCTGTATTTAATTATGTGGTTCCCAAAAATCCTTGAGCAACACATCTGATGCTCCCTTTTTGGGTTAGACTGTAGCTTCATGAGTCAGAGGAAACTCCTCTCCCTCCTGCCCAATATTTATGTGTACAGACTACTGTGCAAAGAAAGAACCATCAGACTATAAAAAAAGTAAAAACGTAGCTAAATTTGGACTTCCCAAAAGCCAATAAAGATGCTTTGAATTGTTCTTTTTCTTTTCCTTTTCCACTCTCTATAGATGAAGAGCTGTTTTCAGGAATGTATATTGATTTCATGGGGACGGATGCTGCTATTTTTCGCAGTTTAACCAAGCGGAATGCAGTGCGCACCGACCAGCACAATTCCAAGTGGCTCAGTGGTAAGATGATTGTTTCACAAAGCTTTTGATATGTATAGAATAGAAAGTCTGACCTATTTTTAAAACCATTCTATTATCTATCTTGCCATGTTAATCTACTAAGTGAAACCATGAGGAAGAAACAGGAATAAAAACACATCAAAGACCATGGCCTTTCTACATGATAAAAGTAAAGCATGTCACCCATGTGAAATCTTGTCTTCAGCACTAGACATTATGAGATCTACAAAGGAAAGTGCAAAAAACCCTGTTATATATAGATGTGGGATAAGCTATCTCCTAAGGAAATTTCTTCTTCACTTTTAATACTTATTGTCTTAAATGCTTATAGTAAATTATCAACCACAGTAAATTTAGATTGGTTGTGTTAACTATGCTATTGTCCTAGCGTGGCTCCTGCCGTCACTGAAATCAATGGAAAGACTCCTGTTGACCTCTCTGGGGATGGTTTCTTCCCACAATCTGTCCATTATGCATCGTTCTGAGGCCACAGTGGGACTTTAGCTGAGATACAGCTTTTATTCTGGTCCTCTTTGTAAGGGCATATATCTAACCTGGGAATGTACCAAATAAGGCTTCTGGTTGGAAAAAGATTTGCATTTATTGTTACCAAGCCTGTTCAGGCACACTGGAGGTAATACATCTCTTCTTTTTAAACTTAGTTTAATTCACAAGGTACATTTTAACATAGCAATTCCTTTAATCATATCACATTCTAGATATCAAACTCTTCTTTTTCCTCAGGATAAAGTGTATATACCCAAAGACAAAGACTCTCTATTTTTAAAAAGTTTGGTTTTTTTTTTTTCTTTTATTCATTTATATTCTCTGAAGTGACTTGCTTGAAAAAACCTAATTGCTGGAAAACCTATATAATGCAGATGCTGGGAACAGTGAGTGACAGATACAGTTCATTTTTATATTCCTTCTGAGCTAGACTCATGACATTCAATTCAAGAATAGAATGAATATAGAAAAAAAATCCCCAAAAATAAAATGTGACCTTTCTAAAAAGTCAGAAGTGGTCTTCATTTGATAATAAGTATCTGGCATCATTATTAGGAAGTACATGCCCTCACACTAGAGAAATAAGTTATCTGAGGTCTTCAATGCTATTCATTAGATTTTAGTAAGAAAAATTGCTAAATGTAACCAAGTGCACTACGTGCTCCAACACTGACTCTGGCTGTCAAAAGGTGGTCTACAGTGAAAAAATATAAATTTGTTTTTCTATCATAATTTAAATTTCAGACTAGAATATCAGTAGGAACACCTTTGGTGAGGCCAGTATTTTGAATTGTTTTTATACAACATCAAATTGTTTGTTTATTATTCTTTAAAAGGAAAAATTGTATGTGGAAAAATTAGTGATTATTTTTGTTCTTTAGCTTATTTTTACTCACAGTACATGGTCTATTTATTTCCATATGTTTTTTTTCTCCTAACATGAGCATCTTTGAGGAGTCCTTGCTATTCAGGCATCCTCGTGTCCTAAAGGATTCCCCTGCTTCAGTTTTCAGTGGTGCTACAACTATCTTTCCCTTTTTAGATTTTAAAAGTAATTTGTTCATTTTCTTTCTAATGGGTTTTTCAGTTGCTTGGATTTCTTCTCAATTTTTGCCTCAAAGGATACTCTACAATACTTAATAGGAACTCACTGATTTTTCCGTCTTTCTACTCTCAAAGGTTTTTGATCCCTTTAGTAAACTGTCACTAATATTCCTGCATCAGACTAGCTTTTTTTAAACCTGGCACAAATATGTAGAATCAGTGTCTATAGAAACAACAGGAAGCTGCCCCCTGGAAACACTTACCTTAATGCTTCAGGAATAAAGGTTGTAGCTGTGTTGGTCTAAAGTTACAAGCAGGCAGCGTGCTAAAGGCAACATCTTTTATTAAACTTGACAGTTGAAAACAAACAAACAAACACATAAATAAATAATAAAAATAATAAAATACATGTGCCCTTCCTCAGGCATAGGAGAATGCAAAGATTGTGAAAATTATCACAGGTAGAAATGAAAATTCATATTGTATGGGAGAGCTCGAGTGGGGTGTAATTTCTCCCTGTTGGAAAAATTCATTTTATGCAAATTAGGCTTGGATAAAATTTGGAGCAGACTACCTACCTCAAAGGTGTCTGATGGCAAGCAGGATGTTGAATTATGTTTCTTTCTTGTTACGGTGTTTTGTATTACATAGGAGAATTAGTGATGGAAAGGGTCTCCTGGGCAAAGAATTTGCAACTCTAATTGGTCTAATAAAAGGCACCGCCTCTATCACACCGACTGCTTACCTTAATGCTTACATTTACACACATGTAACACCAGGGTCTAGAATTAAAACTAGAATATTGGGCAACAGCAGCAGATACTTTCTATATGAAGAGATCAGTATGTGCCAAGGGCTTAATATTGGCTGCTTATATTGACATGTGTTGTTTGGTCTCTATCCGTCTCCTTTTAGAGCCTATTTTTGTGGATGCTCATCTTATCCCAGATGGTACTGACCCTAATGATGCCAAAGTATACTTCTTCTTCAAAGAGAGACTCACAGACAACAGTGGCAGCACCAAGCAGATTCATTCAATGATTGCAAGAATATGTCCGGTAAGAACCATTTCACGTCTCTGGTTGATAGGCAAATTCTATGGCTTGATCAGATAAGCAAAACGAATACAGTTAATTAAAAATTATTTGTAAAGTCTGTAATCCCTATTGTCAACAAATATCCTGCTCCTGCTTGCACTCTGTCAATTAAGATAGGCTTTTTTTAAATGCAGCCTAGACCTATCCATCTTAAGTATATCTGGACAAAGTCTGTAATTATATGAGGACTATTAGAGCTTGATATATATGCACCTTTCTGCTTGGTGTAGTGCAGCTAGCGACGCTGATTTTCTAAACATACTCTGCTTCCTGTATTTCATATTTGAATTTTACTTAATGCACATAAATAACAAAAGTGTCATGTGTCCCAGAAAAAAAAATCCAATTGAAAGATACCGGGAATTTCAGAGTCTATATTTTACAGAAGTATCTATACTTTGAGACAGGCTGGCTTTAACAGAAGTATAAATACTATAGATAAAGTATCTATACTTTGAGACAGGCTGCCTCTAACTTTAAATCTTGTTTTCATTGTTGAAATAGTGGTGCTTTTGTATGCTCTACATAAATTTATATGGGGATTAATTTAAAGCATAAAAATAGTTGTATTCATTTCAGTAAGTTAAGGCAAGCATATAAGCATATACATCTTTACAGGTTCAAAGCTTTGGTTGCATTTTCCATTTCTCTTTTTCTCTAATAGTAGTCAATTTTGCATGTAACAGGATTGGAGCAACTTCTTCGTTAGAAGACATAAATATGTGTAAAAACAGGAGAGTAAAATTATAAAAATAGTCTATTTTTCGTAAGCTTTCCACGTTGGTTTAGACACTGCTAGAGTTAAAGTAGTCAAGAGCTGTTTAATTTCCCCTTCCTGCAAGTTTAATATTTGTCTGGTTCATGCTATGGCTTGCCAGAAAATGACTGCAAGGGTGTATGCTCAGCTCCTGCTTTGGCAGTACTATGTGACATGTGGCCTGCTCTCCTAGGCTAGGTACAGACTTTCAAAAAGCCTGGGGCAGAATTGATCTAAGTTACGCGGGTTTTCTAAGTGGGGTAGTTCAGATCAGTAGCGAACAGAACACGCATTTGCCCTTTGGTGGGGGCGGAGCACCCCTCACATCTTAGACTGGGTACAGCCATTTTTAAACTAGTCTGTGTGTCAAACTTCTGCTCCGTTACAGTTGTAGACCAGTTTCCAATCACTTAAACTGGTAAAAGTGTAATGTCTGGACCTGGCTTGGATGTGTTGTTCTTTACATTTTTGTTAAGGTGCCCAAAGATTTCTGAGTGTTTTGCAAACATTATACTTTAATTATAACATTACTGTTGCCATTACAATGAAGGCCAGAAAAGCCTTGACTGGCCTTGGCCCTGTAATACTTATGCTGATGTCAGTGGCAAACTCTCACAGACATCAGCAGGAACAAATATTGCCCCTTGAATTTTATAATACTTATCATAACAGCCTCTGCAAGGAATGAACTTTATGAATACTTTGCATCAGGGAGACATAGGTAGATCTGGACTACATGGGACCAAAGAGATTTTAACTTTGGGTCTCTCAAAAATCCTTGCATTGCATTGCAGCTAAGTTACACTCTGACAGCTTCCACGGTTTGCCTTTTCCCTTCCCTTGTTTCATAGGGGGCTATGGTACAGCTGCAATCTGCATCTTCTAGCAGAAGCTATCAAAATCAATTGGATGCTAAAGCGGCTGTTACTGATGTGACTGTTTACAGTCCTTCCAAATGCAGCTCCTGAGGGGGGCACCCAGCAGCCCCCCCGACTGATCCGGACTTGAGCATGTAGTCATCTGAGTTATGTTACCCTGCGCATCATTCTGTTGAGGGAGATGAGTGGAAAGACTGGAGACCCAGTAACATCAAGTGAATTTGCTTAGGTCCTTGTCCTTTGATGAGTGAGCAGAACAGGTGGTTTCTGGGGAAAGGTGGGGTAGGAATGATTATGTGCCAGGTTACAAGCCTTCTATCATCAGCGTGCTTCAGTTCTGATAACTCTACGGTTAGCTAAGGAGCCCTAATAGCAAAACACTTTTTGTGGGCTGCACAAAAGTTTATTCTTGAGCCTCTTAGCCCTGCTAGCTTAGTTTTAACAAAGGCTAGGGAGACTGTTGAGAAAACATTCCAGTTTATAAAGATAGACAACATTTCTCCCCTTCATGCATGGCCAGAATTTCTATTGCATGCATATACTGAAGTCAGAGTAAAAATAAAGCTGGTAAAAATTCCCACAAATTTGATTACAAGTTTTCACAAAATTATGTTATACTTCTCAATGCATTTTAAATAAATTGATTATTTAAGGCCTAGAAATTAGAATTCTAGCTAATTTCCCTTAGGTACCTGAACAATAAACTACTAGTCATAAACTGTTGCCCATGTATGATATCATAAATCTTATCAACTGATGACTGTTTTAAATTCAATACACATTTCCATCAGTGCATTCACTGAAGCCACATTTTAGTTTTAGGTTTTTTTAATTTAAATAATTCATTTTTATGGGGTCATTAAGTAAAAACTGGAGAAATGGAGACTAAGAAGTAACCTTTCCGGTATGTTCCTTTGGTGCTGAATATCAGTCTCCTTTTATAACTTTTAAAAATAATTTTAAAAAAATAATTATAAAGTATTCCTAAAATAAACTGTGATCCTAAATCTATATAGAAAATATATATGAAAATTAATCTCTTTTTTTGCAAAATGGACATGAATTGACACACCTAATTTTGATTTGAAGCTTATCAACTGCATTCACAATTATGCACATATATATGCAAAAGTTAGCATGTATACACTTTAGAAAACCAAGTCCTTAATGCTAGCATAGATGCTAGCTGTTTAAGGGTGCTGAGGAATGTATGAATACGAGCTTGAAGAATATGAAGAACAAAAGAGAGAGGAAGTCCTATTGGTTTAGCCTGAGTGCTGTTTGGAGCTTTGTAAGGAAAGATTTTCTGTGGATAACCATAGGTAACATAGGAACGTCATACTGGCTGACGCCCATAGTCCATATAGTCCAAGATTTTACCTTTGACAAAAGCCAAGGCCAGATGCATCACACATATGACCCAGACATGGGGGGGGGTCATGGTTCAAAAGCTAGGGGTCAACAATACCTGAAATTCAGAAACCAAAGCCAAGGGTCACAGTACAGAGTGTCAGAGATTGAAGTAGGTCCATGGTCAAAGTAGGCCAGGGAATTCAATACATGGTGTAGGATAAGCAGGAATAAGGTACTGCAGTTCAAAGTAAGGGAAAGGCAGGAATGAGGCTGGAAGCAGAGCAGGAGGGTCCAAGGAAGAGGCAAAACAGGAGCAAGGCAGGGCAGAGCTAGAGATACAAGTCAAGGGTTCAACAACAGAGTCAGGATCAAGACAGTAGTGAGGGATGAAAGCTGGGGAGTCCAACACGGAAAGAGGAATACAAGACTCAGGCAAGTAGGTCCACAGCAGGAATAGTAACAGTATTATTTCAGGGACAAGTGACAACTGGGAAGGTTTTATAGACTTGGAGGCCTGTGGCCTCCATTGGTCCTCATAGGTCACCTGATCCCCTGCTAAGTATACTTGTGGGGGTGCCCAGCCTGAGCTCGAGCAGGTGTATGGCTAATCCCCTGATGGTGCCACAGCTTGGTCCCCTGCCTGTAGATACCATGGATTGAGATCTAAATCCAGGGGCCCTGACACAATGCCTCAGAGGTGGGTGCAATTAGCCTTGCATGTGGTCTTCTTTTAATAGTTTCATAGTTGGTTGGCAGGGTGAGAAGGGACCTGAGCAGTTCATCAAGTCCGACCCCCTGCCATGGCAGGAAAGAGTACTGGGGTCAACCGACCCCAGCAAGGTGTTCATCCAGCCTCCTCTTAAAGACCCCCAGGGTAGGAGCCAGCACCACTTCGCTTGGAAGATGGTTCCATATCCTAGCTGCCCTGACAGTGAAGTACCACCTACTGATGTCTAATCTGAATCTACCTTCTGCCAGCGTCTGACGGTTATGTTTCTAGTTGCTCCTGGTAGTGCTCGGGGGAACAGGGACTCCCCCAATGCCTGCTGGTCCCCTCTGACTAGTTTGTAACAGGCCACTAGATCCCCCCTCAGCCTTCTCTTGTGGAGGCTGAATAGGTTCAGGTCCCGTAGCCTGTCCTCATAGGGCCTGCCCTGCTGCCCCCAATCATGCGAGTGGTCCTCCTCTGGACCCTCTCCATGTTGTCCACATCCCTCTTGAAGTGCGGCACCCAGAACTGGACGCAGTACTCCAGCTGCGGCCTGACCAGTGCCTCATAGAGGGCTAGTATCACCTCCTTGGACCTGCTTGAGATGCATCTGTGGATGCATGACAAGGTGTGGCTGGTCTTCCTGACTGCATCCCCACACCGCCGGCCCAGGTTCATATTGACATCGATGATGACTCCAAGATCCTTTTCTGCCTCTGCACTGCCAAGAAGGGAGTTCCCCAGCCTGTAGGTATGGTGCTAGTTCTTCCTCCCCAGGTGCATCACCTTGCACTTGTCAGTGTTGAAATCCATCCTGTTCTCATCCGCCCACCCCTGTAACCTGTCTAGGTCCGATTGCAGCCTATTCCTCCCATCTAGCGTGCCTACATCCCCCACATCTTAGTGTCATCAGCAAATTTGAACAGGGTGTTTTTACCCTCTTGTCCAAGTCACTGATGAAGATGTTGAACAGTGCGGGCCTGAGGACTGAGCCCTGGGGGACCCCACTGCCCACATCCCTCCAGGTCGAGGGACTGGATAAAGTTTTAGACTCTGAAGCATAAGATTTTAATTTCACATATCTGTGAACAAATGTTATCATTTTCTGATATCACCTTGAGGCCATTTTATAGCTTAAAACTTCATTCACTTTTAATTTGCTAACATAAAGAAAATTTGAATTTCAATAAATTTCCCCAGTGTCTTTTTGTTTGGTCTCAAAGATTTAAGTTAAGATTTACCTCATTTTTTAGATTGGTGAGTGATAAAGTAGGTTATTGCCTATAAAACCTCATGCCCCCCTTTGAACCATTTAATCTCTAATGTGCCACCTTCTGCCTGACTTGGCTAAAAACCTGCGTTCATTTTTTATTACATAGTACTTTACTTAAATGATGATGTACTATACTTACATGGAGGGATTCAATAACTATTTAAGTGTATATGCTATTTTTTATAAATTTCTTTTTCCTTTTCAGAATGACACCGGTGGACAACGAAGTCTTGTAAACAAGTGGACAACATTCTTAAAAGCAAGGCTTGTTTGCTCAGTAATGGATGAAGATGGAACAGAAACATACTTTGATGAATTAGGTAAATAGGGTAATCCTTTTATAGTCATGCCTAAATCTTGTTGTCTTCATGCTTGTGAATGTTTGAACATTTCTGTCACTTTGGACATGTTAAATTGGCTATCCATTCCACTCTATGGCAAAGCTCCTTTTGGGGGGAGGGAGGGTAGAGGAAAGGAAAGGCAGGAAGCTTTCATCATAAATCTCTCTAAACTTCAGCACCCTAGTTTGTAAAACATGGATAATGCTGTTTAACATGCAAAGTAATAGTATGTGAACAAACTAATGCTTGTGATGGACACATGGGAAGCATCCTGTGAAAAGAAGCATACAAGCAATTTTGTTGTCATTGTTATGATCATGATGAAGATTTCCTTACGTTACCTTAGAAAAAGTTTTCATATGAGTATGTGAGGTACTGGTTTACATGTACCACTCTTTTTGGTAATACAGTTGGTTGTTTGGACTAGTGGCCTGGAGACTTCATTTTGGTGTCTAAAATGATGTTGATGTATCAATATACAATAATTACTAGCATTAGTTATTGTGAAACGTAGGTCATTGGGATCAATGCAGAACTTCCAGGGGAAAGTTAACGTAGGTCAGAGTAGCTGATCTGGTTGTCCCTTCTGACTTTAAATTATATAAATCTATGAAACTTCAATGCAATTTGAATATTTTCCAAAAGTTAAAGGAATAACTGAGGCTTTGCTGAAATGAGCTCCAACTGAGATGAACATGCCGAGACATTTAAAATTCTGACTCTGGTATTTATATATCTTAATAGGAGTAAGTGGATGTTAGGTTCATTTGAAAAACTAACCTTTCTTTTCCTGTGCTAGTTGTATTACTGTCATTCTTAAATACAAAAGGCCTGGCCCTCTTCCCATTAAAGTCAGAGCCACAATTCCCATTGGCTTTAAGAAGAGTGAGATCAGACTTCATGTTTTGAGGTTGAAAAGTCAAGCAAGAATAATTGCTTCACAAGTGTTCTTCCTTTCTTTCTTGCAGAAGATGTATTTCTCCTAGAAACAGATAATCCCAGAACAACGCTCGTGTATGGAATTTTTACCACATCAAGGTAATTTTGAAGATTTATCAAAATACCTTTGGTGAGCAGCTGCAATATAAATACAGAAGGAGATTGTGTGCGTCAAGGCATTAGGAGTGAAGGCAATTCGAAATGTACCCTATGACTGTCTTTGCTATCTACGAGACATACATTCAATTCTGTTTGCTTTGATCTATTAGAAACATAAGTAATTGCTATCTGAATCAGAGCTGCAGTGATGCCAAATTGATCCCTAGAGTCTACTCAGTAAAACCACACCAGGGATGAATTTGCCTTCCACTCCCAGCTTTATTTTCAAGATATTGTGATTGGCTCTGAGAAAACATTTCCAGCTGGCTCCACCTGTTTACACTTTTACAAGATAGGGGAGAAGCCAAAGGACATCTGTGAATGTAATGCCTGTGACAACTGAAGAGTCTCAGCACCTCTGGAGGGTGCTCATCACCTGCAAAGACCCAGCCCAGATTCTTAGCCAAATTCATGCTGCTAGTTTTCACTGGCTCAGCTAGCAGACAATTTGCACAGCTGGCAGACTACTACACAGGCCAATTGCACTCTGGCTGCCAAAAGACAACCTCTCTTTTATCATCTCCTTCCTTAATCCCAACCTGAGTCTTCAGGCTTCTCCTTTTCTATAGGAAATGTGAGTGCACAGCATTGCTCACCATGGAAAAAGTGAATAGTCATTTGGGAAAAATCAAGATTTCCTCTTACCGCATTGAAGTGGCCTTGCTGAGTTGCTGAAACAGCAGAAAACTGGACTAACAGGATCTATCCATTTTACCATCTCTCACTTTAATTCTATCTTGATATTTTCTTGTTTTGCCCAAACTTCATGGACAATGGTAAAGCTACTCCCTGTGTATGTATTTCTAATACATGTGTCCCTGCCACATGTAGGTGTACGTATTTCTTTGTATCCCTTGGAGCTTGTTGACATTTTAAAATATATATCTTTTAAAATTAGAAGATTATTAAAACCAAACTTTTTCAGGGGGGTTTTGTTACAAACACCTGAAATGTTCTATGTATTTTTTTAATGAGGAAAGGCTGTACTGTCACAATAATATACATGGACCTATATTCTCAAATGTGTAAAAGCAGCCAGGAAAATATAATTTCATAATATTTAGTTGAGGGGAAAAATCCATCCCCAGTGCTTGCAAACAGTTGATGCTGTCTGTATTGAATGACTCCTACAACACAAAAAGAAAATGCTGAGGCAAGGTTTAACAATAAAGCCACATTTATGATTGTGTTATGGATTCGACATGTCTGAGCTGGAAACATTTTTACCTAATACTCATGGTATTCCTGCAGTGGAAATTGGGTTTGAGTCAAAGAACCACATAATGTAACAAACACAATGCCTGGTCTATTCTAGGCCCCCAAGTCATTTTCTCACTTTAGTCAAGGTTTTACATTTGTCTGCCGTACTGAAAATAATGATTAATTTTAACTGAACCATAATGGCCTAGGCATGTGACCAAAGTGAATCATTTTTATGGCAGTAGCTATTATAAAACTAACAAATATATATTGTCTGTAAAGAATAAAGTAACCTTTTAAATCTTATCTTAGTGTTCTACAAATGCGTAGAAAAACTTTCTGACCCGTGTATGAAGACATGGATCTCAGACAGCTAATCCAGTTACAATACATCTGAGATCCATCTCAAACTAGCACAGGCAGAGCCCAGAGCAAAGTTGACTGCTGGGCAATGTCCTGTAGCAATTTCCTCAGTTTTAGACTTTTTCAGCTACATCCTATAATGTTTTAATTTTTTTTTTACCCTTTCAATTGAAAACAAACAATAATTTGGTTTGTCTTTGTCTCACACTTACTGGGGAAAATTTTACACAGTTCAGAGATGCAACTTGGTTTGCAAGAAGTACAAAGCTTTAAGCCTGTCTTAGCCTAAACCCTTTTACACAGTGGAGGCACACAGGAGGGAGGCCGCAACAGGATGCTTAAGCTTCACACTGGAAATGAGGCCCTTGACAATGGGACCCATCCTTAATGGAAGATAACAAGGACACTTGCTGGCTTCAGAGTTCTTGGCAACATGACTCTGCTGCACTGAGGAGCTGGGTCCAAGCTAGGTGGACACAGAACAAAGAGAAGAGACTTGGCCTCCTTATGACTGTTTTCTTGGTTCCCTCACTGGAGAGTGAAACCTCCAATGGAAAAACACAAATAAAAGTCTACAAGGGACATACTTTCTCTCTGGCAGTGTCTTTGTCAAGGTCATGATCTGGCCTCTTATGGCTCCTAAGACTCCAACCACTTGTTTTATTATTCTGACTGCACTGAATTATTTATTCTTTTTCTTCTGATTAAAGCTTTAGCCATATATGTTCAAAAAGTCATCAGTGAAGTTTTACAATTCAAGTTTTGAAATGAGGGTCAAGAGATGCGCGTGACTGCACAGAGACAACAATATCCCAGTCTTTCTGAAGTCACACAGATTTCATTTGGGCCATGTTGTGCTTTCTTAAGAGAATAGCTGATCTCTGCCACAACTTTCCCATACACAAGAGAGGGATGCTAAGACCTTCCCTTTCCCTTTGCAAGATGACAGTCTTTGTGAGGAACACATTGCCTTACCTCACAGACTGAAAATGCGTTTTGGGAGGCTTAATTATTTATTGTAAAGTGTTTTGAGATTCCCAAAATGGATGATACTAGAAAGGTGTTGTGTGTTAAATGTGGTATTGATAGGAGCATCTTTCCACATTGAACCATTTGCTATGATGGGGAAGTTACATAAAAAAGGCAGCTAATATTGCAAATGTTTTCCTTGTTTCTTCCAGCTCTGTATTTAAAGGTTCAGCAGTGTGCGTGTATCATTTATCTGACATCCAGACAGTGTTCAATGGTCCGTTTGCACACAAGGAGGGACCTAACCACCAGCTGATTCCGTATCAGGGCAGGATTCCATACCCACGACCTGGCACAGTAAGTGCAAAACATGTTTAATCAAGTCAGCCTTGGCAATTAATTGTCCTTGTTTAATGTAACGAAAAATATCAGCAAGTTGGTGCTGAAGCACAGACTGTACACTCCAACTCAAGTCAGTATTTGAGAGTTTCCCAACTATTATTAATATTATTATTATTATAAAATGACTTTCTTTTTGTTCAGAAGTTATTTGATTAGATGCCTTTTCGTTAAAATGAATCTGAAGTGACAAAGAGAGACAGAGACAAAGTGCCCGGGGATTATTAAAGGAAACCAATTCAAAGAGGGTTTTTTTGTTTTGTTTTGTTTTTTAATTTCTGTTCATCATTTTGGCTTACTGCTTGAATTCTGTATTCATGATCTGGGTCCCATACAAATTTCTGTCTCCTAAACTTGTGAGTCTTGCCCAGTTCTCAAGAGTTTCATCATGTCAGTGGAATGCTGGGTAGTTTTGGTGAGCAGCCATGGTTACCAGGACAGAAGTACTCTTTCAGCAGATTAGGATCTATCCCCATGAAGGCTATTGAGACAGAAATCTTGAGAAGTACTATGCATTGGACAGGAAACCATGATGACCTGGTCATGGCAACCTGTGTTGCTAAGCAGATGGGCTGCTTCCTTTTGCACCAGTTGAAGGTTTTGCAGGGCTTCCTTCCAAAATGTGACAATTTGCAATAAGTATCCCAAAGACCCTAAATCAGTGACTCTTAACCAGGATGCTCTGGCACCCTGGGGTGCCTTTAGATTCTTTCAAGGGTGCTGAAGGGTGCCGCACAATAGTAGCACTGTTAGGGTGATTCACAAACAGGATTTACAAGATAAATCCAGAGATTTCAGTAGTATCACAAATATTCTGTGTTGTTGTGGTCTAATTTACAATAGAAAAATTGCCGTATTATACTTCCATAGTTAAAAAAATATATAGCAAAAACTAAGATTGACATTTTCCAAAAGGTGCCATTAGCCAACGAGGGGTGTCTTCTATCTAAAAAAGGTTGAAAACCACCATCCTAAATGCATGGATCATTGTGGCCAGCCCTGTCCTAAATCTTGTAAGAGTGGTCTGTAAAGATTTTTGATAAAAATTGGAATGTGCCTTTTGTTGTTGTTCCTTTGTGATGTAAAGATAAGGCCTGACTTTAAAATAACAATGGTTTTCTTAATTTTAGAAATGTCAAAAAAAGGTCAAATCTGTGATCCCTGGTTTTAATGGAGAATCTGTGGAAGTTTTCTGGGATGTATATGCATAACCCTGGCATCTAAACAGAAGGGACAATGCAGGGACATTTCTAAGAGAGTCTCTTTCTAAGCTGTTTGTTAGTCATGTTAGTTAAATAAGTGTCCACAACAGTTTTAAACCATCTGAGTAAAAATCCCTGCCCTTCTCAGGGTTCTTATTTAATCTCCTGACTCTTGTCATCATTTCACTAATCCTGTAGTCATTGCGAAATTCTTCATGCTAAACAAGGACTAAACTTCTAATATAAAAATAAGCAGACCACCCTTTCTTTTTTGCTGTGCTCTTTTTTTTTTAACTTTGACAATTTTTTCACACACTTTCTATGCATCACAAGGGAGCAAAAGGTCCACAAAGCCTTCCCATCACCTTTTTTAAATTAAAAAAAAAAATCCAGGTCCATATAAAACTTGTTAATCTTATGACAGCATAACATCCTTGCACTTCCTGTTTTGTTCTGCTGATTTATTTTCTCACCCTGTCTCATTCTTCCCCCATGTCTTGAGCAGCTGCAGTCCGTTGCAGAGCTCTTTATGGGTTGCAAATCAGACAGGTGACTTCCCATAGGGATGAACCTTATGGCCCCTCCATAGACTATGTACTATGGGATAAATGCTCATGTTTATTTATTTCTTTATTTAAATATTTATTTATTAGGTTTCTATGATTCCAGAAAAAGGCTCTGGGTGGCTTACACTAAGACAAAGTACTTATAAAAACATAATAAAATATTAAAATTTCAAAATAAAAACAACCCCCCCATAACCCAGCATTCAAAATAATCCACTTTACCCCCACTCCAATTTCCTCTTGCCTCTAACCTAAGAGAACATCACCTATGCTCAACCCAACAATGCTTCTCAACCCCCACTCACTACCAAGAAAGATAAATATTTTCTTACCATATTTCCTCCCATCCCTACCCAGTTCCACTCTTGTTCCTTATACACAGAGGAGTCCCTTAATGTACCTTCGAAGACCATACTTTCCTCTGTCACAGGCATGTAGGGGTGTCCCCCAAACCTATTCATTCTCCTCTTCCCCACCTAAAAAAACATGTTTTTGCCCTATCCTAAATCTGTTCATAACTCCCAAAGCATTTGTTAGTATTATCATATTTGCAGTGCTGTGAAAATTCTAGTTTTGAGCGATTAGCACCCTAGCAATACTTCACCATTTCTAAATTGACAAATGAAACTGTTTTATCAACACATGCCATCATTTGGTTAGGGGAAAAAAACTTAGAAATGAAGCACATGAGTAATAATAAAGATGACAATGAACAGAAATGGATAAGCCAATGGAAACAGGGCATGCAAAGGGTAAAAGTCCCAAGCACAAATGAAATATATTTCTTTATAGTTCAGTTTCTTATGATTTTTTTGGCTTTAAGATTTGGTACTCTCATCTCCCCAAATCTCTTCAGAATGTATTAATAAATTCCTTGTGTTTTGCTGAGGTCTAATGGAAGCATTCCTGTTTGTTGTTAATTCAAACAGCCTTAATCTCCTGACTTCACTGTTGCTTTAAGTTTAATCTTTACAAAAAATATAAAACAAACATCTCATTTAGCTAGGAAGTTTCATGTTCTTGTGACTAGTCATGTTTCATCGTCTCTTGCTGCTTCAGTGCATTGTATCTGTATGTGTGTTTTTTCAACTGCTGCCATGTTATTCTTGGTTCACCTTACTGAAGCTTATAAGGGATTCCAAAAGGATCTTAACACTCTAGGGGACCTGACAGTACAAAAGAAGGAAAAAATTAATTTATCCTTTTGTTTAACACAGTGGCAAAAGTTGTCTGCACTTCTCAGAAAAATGGTAAGCTCTCAGTTTGAAGGACAGATAGTTCAGAAATCTAGAATAGGGGTTGGAAACCTAAGGCCTGTGGGCAAGATTCAGCCCATGAAAATATCTGATCCATCCCAAGAAGGTCCAATCTGACACTGGAGCAATGGCACAGAGCTATGCCATGCTGCCTACTTGCTCCATGTGGTTCCCCTAATGAGCCTGCTTCTCTATTGTGTCTTCATTTACCCTACTAGCAAAGGGGATGGGAATGAGTGGCAAGGGCAAATACAGACAGGTGGCCACTCCAAGCAGTGGAGTGTGACAGGGGGCTGTCTCACGGCCAGTCAAACCATTGGCCCACGCACTTGTCTAGGGCAGTTCTCCCACCTGCCTTGCCTGCTATGCCCTTGAGGCTGCCCATTTACTGCCTGATGCCAAGGGTGTAATACACGGTTCTGAACCTCCCCTTATACCATGTCCCATGCCTCGCAAATGGCTTCGTTATGTGGATCTGGCCCCGCGATAGACCTCATTCTATGCCTGCCTGGCATTTGGACCCCATCTGTATGCCTCCTCTTCAGGTAGTCTAATCTCTGCCCTCATACTGGGCTGCCAAACTTCCTAAGCCCTTTTTTCCTCATGGCTGTGGCCCCCTCCAGGACCTTTGGCTTCACTACCCCGGCCTCCCCTCTAGGCCAGTTGGGACCCCCAACCTCTAGCCTTGGCCATCCCTCATCGTGGGTGCTCTGGCCCTTCAACCGGTCTGGTTCTGGTCCCAGCATGGGCCGGCAAGGTTATTCCAAGAAGGTACTGAGCTGCTTGACCTCACATTCCCATATGGGTCTGCCTTCTAGGGCCCATCCTAACACACCTCACTCTACTCAGGCCAGCCTATGTGCAGTCCTTCAGGCCCTCCCATGCAGACTCTACGCAGCCCAATCAATCACTCTAACATGCTCCCTCACTGGGGGCTATACTGGAGTAGTAGTCCCCCTCACTGGGACTACTACAGCACCCTCACTGGGGCTCTCAGGCCTTACACCCCTTGGGCCTCAGGTCTGATGATGCCTGGGACTCCTTGCCTGTCCCCTCTATGGGGTAACCCACCAGGTCATGAGGACTGAGGCTATATGGAGCACCATACTCACCTTTCACTAGCGAGGCACTGATGTGGCATTCCCTGAGGACCACCCTGCCACAGGCAGCCCTACCACACTATCCTACCCTAGCAGAGTGTAGTGTTAGGTCATTCCCCAGGACCAGGAACCTCCTCCATACCTCCTACTCTGAACCTCCAGGTGTTTTGGGAGCAGCAGCTCTGGGTGAGCAATGTTCTTCCCAAAGCTCCCTGCAGCAACTGCCAGCTCAGATCTGAGGGCCTGGATTTATATTGTGGCTACTCAGCCCTATCCACCAATCCAAGAGCCCTCCCATAGTCATGTGACTGCCTCATTAGGCTGCATCACATCTGCTGGCTGCTCCATAGCCTGCTTAAGTCTCTTAAAGTGGCAGGAGCCAAAGGTTTCCTGCCACATGGACACTTACGTCCTGTGGTTGGTGCCAGGTCACAAAGGGTAGTCCATACTGGTGGAGGTTGCTGACCCCTGATTCTTAGGGATCTTCTAGGACACCTTAGCAAAAATTGAGTTCAATGTGAAATTATGGCTGAAAAACAATGCCAATAAGATGGTTTGGTACATAAACAGAAATATTTTTTTAACAAAGATAGCCTGATATAAGGACATATTTAGTTAGAGTTCAAGACTGGAACCAAAACACCAAATCAGACAGAGAATTGGATCTAAGTCTCCTGACTGGAACTCATGCTAATTTTTTTTTCCTAAGATCACATTCAAATCCTTAAATGGCCTGTTTTTCTAGGCCATTTCAGTTAAGGCCAAAGTTTCATAAAAACAACTGTCCAAATCACCCCATAGTGTATGTTCTGCCTAATTTTTTACATGATTGCT